GGCGGTTCTGCTCACAGTGGAGACCTGGGCCTCCATCGTCAGCAGAGGGTCCAAAAGGACTCCCAGACTCTTTACCAAGGATGATGGGCGTAACACCTCGCCATCCAGGGTGGGCAGATGGATGTCCCCACTGCCCGGTCGACCCAGCCATAGGATCTCCATCTTTGCTGGATTCACCCTCAACCTGCTGGCACGCAGCCATCCAGTAACGGCCTCGAGGCACTGATGGAAACAATCGGGTACAGAGTCCGGTCGGCCTTCCATCTTCAGCACCAGCTGAGTGTCATCAGCATACTGATAACACTCAAGCCCAAAACCTCGAACCAGCTGAGCAAGTGGTCGCATATAGATGTTAAACAACAGAGGGGAGAGAATGGCCCCCTGAGGAACCCCACAAGATAGAGGGGACCTCTCAGAGACCAGGCCTCCCCTCTCCCTTTCATCTAATGACTTAGATGAAAAGTTAAAAGGCAGGATCATCAAGTTTGCAGACAACACCAAATTGGGAGGATTGTTTGATAAGAACATCAGAATGCTGAGTATTTTTGTATCTGGGGTCAATCTGGGAATGCATGCACAGATATGGAGTATTACAAATAATGCTGCTACTTGCAATGCATGACAATTTGTCTTTTGGGAACTGGACCTAGAAACTTTGCAGACACATTTGGACCATAAACTATAATATGGATGATAAAATGGTACCCAAAATTGGAATTGCACATTCCTTGGAGTCAAACGCTTTTTTCTTTTGCATTGGACCATCACCCAGTATATCCAAGGTATATATGTCAGGGGCTGGCTTAGAGCTGTATTGAGCATTTGTCTTGCGGTTTCAAGGAAAATTGAGTTTTCTATTGTTTTTTGCAGCTTTAGCATCACAAACAGGGCATTGTTGCCTTATGTCCTGACAATGCACAAGGGTCACGTCAATTGAGGAAAGGGAAATGAGCCAATTGGTTAATTAAAGGCACAGCTGAGCTGGAAGAAAAGGAAGTAGCTTTGGTTGTATCCACTGCAATTCTCAGTGTCAGCACTGGGGAGCTATGTGATGGAAAAACCATGAATTGGAAGTTAATGTTACGGAATCAAGGGAGTGTTACTGGGTGACACCTGTTCGGCCCCACAGCCATTGTCATGTGGAGTCCCACAGGGTTCAATTCTGTCC